TAAGCCAACCACACCACACAAGTTACAGTATATAATGGCATTGTTTTCCAAAAATAACCTCTGAGGCGTAATAGGCGACTAATTATTTCTGTTTCTTTTATTTTTTCTTCTTTTTAGCGACAGGACCAACTACCATACCCCTTTCTAAATCCACGCCTCATATATGTGGTAGAAAGAGAGAGAGGGGTGGGTGAACGTGAAAGGGTTTTTGAAATTTAACATGTACATTCCGCTTCACTAGCCACAGCACCGTGAGTTCAAATAACCAATCACAATCACAATGATGTCCATGGCAGAAGCCTTAATACATCACCCTATATAAGAGTTTAAGATCACGTACAGTATTTGGCTTTGGTTGATAGCAGAGGCTTCGAGGGTTTGTGCACGTGGAAAATTAAGGGAAAACCTAGCTGGGCTCTAGATTACACAGATACATACTAGTTGTTAAAGATAGTTGTATACATTGCTAATAATATTTTTATATTTATTTAATTTTAACAACAGTTTAACAACTTTTATGAGGGTGGTCCAGTCTATCCAGCCGAAGCTGATCATAAGGTACCCTCAGTACACAGTACAACAAAGGAAATTATGAAGTAATTAACAGTAATATGTCGGTAAATTTAAACTACAGTTATAGCCCTAATTATACACACATCGTATGGCGTTCCACTTCGACAGTAATTTATTTTACTTTTTAGTTATGTGGGGCAATGAGAGACCAACATTTATTGTATTGTTTTCCAGACTGTTTTTATCCTTTTACCGTATATTGTAATTGTTTTCGGTAAAATAAATGCAATGAAAAAAAATGAAATATATAAAAAACAAAAATAGCAAAAAAGTAATGAAACAAGGAGGTAATGTGAAATTATTAAGAGTAAACTTCAACTAATTTTACCAATTAATATATATCTGTTGACATTCTTTAAACATTACTACTAACCCCAACGAGCAACGAACCTCTGTCAAATGAAATAGGAATACTGTACTGTACTTTATATACGACGACGTATGCAAAATAGGCTTCAGATTGGACTTCAGCCATCGTCTTCTTTTGATTGGAAGGTTCAATTTTCATTTTCCCACCAAAAGATTTTCTCTCTATGCGGACCGATAAGTAAGTACCCACTGTGCTGTGATTGGTTGAAGGCTACGCCAAAACTAGTCCTATCCGGACCAATATTATCCAAGGAGGACTGATTTTGGCGGCTAAAATCGGTCCCCCGGACAAATTTTAGCGGCCAAAATCCGTCCCCCGGACTAGTAGTGGCGACCAAAATCGGTCCGGGGGACCGATTTTGGCCCGGACCAATTTGGGCATGACAGGTGTACATGCAGAGAACATCTTATTTTATAGCTAGATGCCGGTGTATCTGTCCACAAACATTTGAATTAACTATACAATAGGCCTACATGACTCGTTTGCGCTTGCCTTAATAATTTGAATAAGTATGAGAAAAAGCGTGTAAAGTTAAGATTGGGTTTTCGGCACATGAAGTAGGTAAAGGTAAGTAAATACATCAAAGACAATGTTATTAAGTTTTATTTTCATGGTATGGTATGGTTGCCGAAAATCCCTGTTAAAAGATCACAAGAAATGTGTTGGTGCTTCATTTTAACTATA